TTCTGGGAGTTGAAGTCCACTCATCTTAAAGTGGCCAAGTTTGGACAACACTGCTTTGGAGGAAGACAGTGACAAAAGTAAAGATTAAAGGACATAGCATAAATGGAAGGGCATATGGCTGAACACCATGTTAGGATAAATTATAAAGGAAGTGGTTACATAAATTAAATCAGTATAAAGGTGATTATTGTTACACCAAGATATGTATAAGACTATTTATAATCAAACATAACAAACATAAGTGAAAATACAAACTTCCCCTATCATATCTAGAGGAAATATAGAGTGAAGCCAGTGGAGTTACACTTTGATAAAAAAAAATTAACATCATTATCAAGCTAATATAGTTGCAGTAGCATCTTCTGTAAGCAAATATGACAATCTCCTTATGACAGCTCATTGCAGTTTGTATGGCATGCATGTACTACATTTTTAATAGTAAAAATCTTTAAAGTTGTTATTCTGCTTGCCTCATAGAACAGATTACTGTGATTTCTACTGGCTGAACATTCACATAAAATAAAATTAGGATGTTTTAAAGCATGGTTAATTGGATATGTCTTAGAGCTTGGCTCATATACAACACTAAACCATGATGATTGGAATTGTACATTGTGCTTAGGCAAAGGCAAACAAATCCCATTAAAACAGCATTATGTGAGCACCAGGGCTTTGTGTAGTTTAGAAAATAGGACAGAATGATGTGCAGAATTCCTTCAGAAAATCTAACTGCAGTGACAAAAAGTGTGTGGAAAATAACATGTCTGATTGTGAAGTGAGAGTTGTGATTTTAATTTATGATATTGCCTGCAATCATTGAGAAATTCCTTTGATTACTAGTCAGGAAACAAAAGGAGAAATACAGTAACATTATCTTCTTTGCATTTGGCAATGTTCAAAGCCACTTTCATTTGTATGGATGTGGGCTTCGTCTTGCTTAGAAGAAACTAATTGAAAATCAGGGGTTTTACTCTAAATGTACTTAAGATGTGGTGGCTCCAACTCAGTAATTACATAGTAAGGATATTTATTTATTTGAATAGATGTATTTATTTATATTGATTTATATAAATTGGGAGTACATAGTAAGGATGCTACATCCAGAAGAGAGTACAATCTGCCGTATCACAGAAAAATAGTATGTTAATTAATCTCTTGTAGCTCAAAGTCCTTTCAGGATGCCATATTGAGTAATTTGTATGGTTCATGTCTTGCTTGTTTGTACATTCTCCAACCATTTCTGTGCAGCATTTGCACAAAACTGTTGGCATGGATTTTTATTTTTATTTTTTTTGCTGGCCTCATTGTAGTTAGTGTATGTGTGAGATCCCTTTCATCACTGCAGATTCGTAACAGTTTGGGATTGTGTTCTGTTCTGCTAAATTAGCCTATGCATTTGCTATTTTTTTAAACAAATAACATTTTTTAAACAAATAATATTTATTTATTTAGTAGTTTGAATTAAGTTTTGGTCAGTCAGTCTGGAGTACAGTTGAAATCTGTGGCTGGGTCCCCAACGTTGTACTAAACATTTATGTGATTGGTTTATTTTTGGCTTAGTGTGATGCACAGTCCTGCTAATTATGACTTAACAGTAGGTATGAAATGGGCCATTTGACTGGTTCAACAAACTGGTGTAAAAAAAAAATTAGCTTAACATAAATGTGAATATAATCATGAGGTGTTAGCCATAATTTAAATCATGTTTCAGTTGGTCCTAAATGGAGTTAGCTTGGTTAAATTCTCCTGCATCATTGTTTATTTAGTTTGTACAATGTGATTCCAATCCCAATTCATTTTCATTTTTTAAATAGTTTATCCACTCACATTATTTAACAGTAACTCAGTATTTTTTTCACTTACTTTTTTAGGTGGTGGCATTAGGAGATGTCCCTGATGGGACTTTGGTCACAGTTATGGCTGGGAATGATGAAAACTACTCTGCAGAACTCAGAAATGCTACTGCTGCCATGAAGAATCAAGTAGCAAGATTCAACGATCTAAGATTTGTGGGTAGAAGTGGAAGAGGTATGAAGTTTTTTATTCAAAATCAAATATTAGCTTTAAAAAATCTTCAGACCCTCTATTCATAGAGCCTTTTGTTGCTGGTGTCAGGCCACTTAATTTTTTTGTCACTTCTCTTCAGTAGAATTATATTTGAGGATTTCAGCATTTATGAGGCTGGTAGAATTATTGTAGATTAATATAGCATATTTATCATTTCTGCATTTCAAAATATGCATCTACAGTATGGGGAAAGGTTACTGGGCAGGTTAAATAATAAAACATTGATAATTAAAATATGGTGATGGCTGAAAATAGCAAATTTAGACATTTGAATTGAGCTGTTCAGTGCTTCTGAGCTCCAAAAGTGCTTTGGAGCATAAACATAGCACCTGTCTAACACACAGGATAGCAACTGCATGGTCTTGGGAAAATATAAAAGCTGCTTTAAGGTGTTGCAAGTGAGGGCTATATATGCATTACTGCATACTCTGGAACAACTTCTGGAGATCAAATCTATTCAACAAACTGGTATAAAAAAATCTGGCTTAATATATCTCTTAAGACTAAATTTCATATTAACTATATTAGTATTGGCTGCCTTCAGACAGAAAACATTCTGCAATTTGTTTACATTAATTATCCTGAAGTGTCCCAACAAGAATTTAGCATACATTTTATTGTATTACTATAGATGTATCTGAGTCATTCCAAAGATGTGGAGTTAAGAGAATACATAATGGTTGATTGGCACCTTATCTTAAATATATTGACTTAGATATGTTATCATTGATTTCTATGGATCCTGTTTCCAGGTACGCATACAAGCTTAATGCATGGTGTCACTTGGGTCTGGATTCAGACTTAGAAAAAACTCATTGAATCAATGGGACTTATTTTAGTCATCATTAACTTGTTTCAGTCAGTCTCTTCTAGCTAGGACAATGCCTAGTGATGACCCTTGTATTTTATGTATACATTGTTTTGTGTATGTGTGTGTATGTATGAGAGAGCTGAAATTAACAATGTAGGTTTCCTCTTCAATAAATAATTGGGCTGTTGTGTTTAACTTTTGAACAAGGCCACATTTGAACAGTTTATAGAATTGTTTAAGTTATTCTTGTTTATGTTATATTTGGAATTAATGGCTCTGATGGAGCTGGATTGATTCATTTTAAATATAATCTGACTGTTCTCATGGGTATTTTATCTTCTAACATTTTTTCTTATATACAGTATTTTTTATTACAGTAAATTAGTGAGAGTCCATAGTTGAACTGGACAGGTATGAATGTGTTTAATAAATGAATCATAAAGTTGTATTAGCCATTTAGGCTATCAACACAAACCCCTTCTCAGTGCATAAATCCAAATTAAAGTATGTATGATAGATGCCTATCTTGGTTCTGCTTGAACACATCCAATGAAGCCTACCACTTTTTGAGGTAATTGAGTCCAATATTGAACATTTTCTATTGTTACAATTTTTTTTTTCTAACATTCAGTAGAATTTCTTCTTCTTGTAACCTTAATCCATTATTCAGTGTCCTGCAGTTTGGAACAATAGCCAACAGGTGTTCATGTATGCATTCTCTTGGACAAGTTTACACATACAACTAAACTATAATAACAATTCTGGAGAATACATGGGCCCAGACATTACCACTTAATGTTATGCGTAAACTAGGTAATTGTGGTTTCATGTGGTAGAGAAGCAGGTATGCAACCCATCCAGTGTATAGTAGGTAACATAAGATCAATTTGGATAGCCTAACCCATTTTAAGAACAAACTTTCTCCTAAAACCAGATATTCAAGTGACAAAATATTTTATGTTCAATACATACAGTGATGGTAGAAAGCCAGTTTGATATAGTGGTCCAAATACAGGAGTAGGAGTGGAGAAATCTGAGTTCTAGTCTTGCCTTATGCATCAAAGCCAGCTGAGTGATTTGGGGCCAGCTACACACTCTCAGCCTAAGAAGAAGCCAATGGCAAACCAGTTCTGAAAATGTTGCCAAGAAATTGCATGGACTTGTTTGTATAGTCACCAGGAGTCACGATTGACTTGAAGGTAATATATATATATATATATA